GTTCTGACACCATGCTGACACTGTCGACACTGACTGTACCGACACTGACCGTACCGACACTGACTATACAGACTGACCGTACTGACACTGACCGTACCGACACTGACCGTACCGACACTGACCGTACCGACACTGTCCGTACTGACACTGACTGTACCGACACTGACCATACTGACACTGACCGTTCTGACACTGCACTAAGTGGCACTGGTGGAAAAGTGGCATTAATGTCCTATAAGACTTTAAACTTCAAAGTAAAATGACTTTTTGACATCTAAAGACACTGAAACATGAAGATTTTTATATAAAAAACTTGTAATAAATGTAATAAACTGTTACTGATAAAGTGATAAAGATAATTTTTATATTTGTTTCTGTAAAATAATAAGTTTGTTCTGTCCGGAGGTTAATGTTTATAATCTGTTAACAGGTCACATGACTTTGTTTTTGTTTTTATTGTTTCCTTTCAGAGAGCAGCTACTGGCAGCTCTGCCCTCCCTCCAAGTCCAGCCTGCAGGGGGGGTTACTGAGCTCTAGTTTCCCCCCCGGCCCCGTGCCCCTGGTGCCCCCAGATGCTCACCTGCAGGAGGGGGGTGACCCCCTGGACAGGGGCCCCTCGCAGCACCGGTCCCTGGCTCCCAGCACCTCAGCGTCGGAGCTGTTCCTTCCTGGAGCGGCGGCCCCACCTGGACTGGGACCCCCTCCCCCTCCCCCCCCTCCTCCCAAACGTCACTGTCGCTCGCTGTCTGTGCCCGAGGACCTGTCACGGTGCCGCTACACGTGGCGGCCCAGCGCCTCGCGGGTCTGGACTCCCGTCAGTCGCCAGCAGTGCCACGGTGGTGCTGGGGGAGGGTCTGCAGGGGGCGCGGCGGTGATGGGAGGAGGGGCTATAGGGGCCTCTGGAGGCGGAGCCTGTCCGCTCCGCGCCCCCAGCTCGTCTCTGAACTCGTCGCTGCACTCGTCCTCTAGCCCCACCTTCTTCAGCTTGGCGCTGTCGCCCGACTCCCCGCTGCCCTGGAGCTTCCCCTGGGACCCCAGCGAAGCAGCAGCAGGAGGCGGAGCCTGCTGCTGCTTCTTCCCCTCCCCTTCCTCCTGCTCGTCTTCGCCATCCCCCTTACACCCGCCTCCTCCTCCTCAGAGGAGGTTCTCCCTCTCTCCGGTGCTCATCAGAGACTCGGCAGCCTCCACCTTTCTTCCTCCACCTCCAGTGCCGAGCCAAGCGGCGGCGCCTCCTCTGGGCTGCGCCTCCACAGCCAGGGTGTCCGCGGGGGCCCCGGTGCCCGCCTCCCCCTCCTCGGCGTGCAGCACGCCGTCCTCCCTCCGCCGCAGCCTCCCGCCACAGCTGCCACGCTGTCACTCACAACCCTGTGACCTGCTGCTGCTCAAACCTGGTCTGAAGAGACGCCGAGACCCCGACAGGCCCTGCGCCAGGCCAGTCCTGGACTTCCTTAAGATGACACAGGTAACAAAGGTTACAACAACACACAGGTAACAAACATTACAACAACACACAGGTAACAAAGGTTACAACAACACACAGGTAACAAAGGTTACAACAACACACAGGTAACAAAGGTCACAACAACACACAGGTAACAAAGGTTAGAACAACACACAGGTAACAAAGGTTACAACAACACACAGGTAACAAAGGTTACAACAACACACAGGTAACAAAGGTTACAACAACACACAGGTAACAAACGTTACAACAACACACAGGTAACAAACGTTACAATAACGGTGTATAATGGTAATAATGGTATAAACCCTGCAGGATGGTGTCCCTGTGGGTCCAGGACTGGACCAGCCTAGTATAAACCCTGCAGGATGGTGTCCCTGTGGGTCCAGGACTGGACCAGCCTGGTATAAAACCTGCAGGATGGTGTCCCTGCAGGACCAGGACTGGTCCAGCCTGGTGTAAAACCTGCAGGATGGTGTCCCTGCAGGACCAGGACTGGACCAGCCTGGTATAAACCCTGCAGGATGGTGTCCCTGC